CCGATATGTGAATTAAAAGTACTGGATCGCATGAAAAACAAACAAACGGGAAAGTGTTGAACTGACGCAGACAGGCACAAAAAGTAAGCAACGCACGCGGACACACAAATACAGACACGAAAAGCACTTGTAGGATTCATTTCCTGGACACATTTGAAGAAGAATAAAAAAAATTGAAGGATAGTATCGATACAGTGGATGCATTTGTCTTAATTAAAAAATGTATATATATTTACGCAAAGTAAATTTTTTACCCATTTTTTCACTCATCTGATAAAAGAATTACAGGCACAAAGAGGGAGAGAGAAGTAGAAATGGAAGAAGCAGAAGAAGAGTAGACAAAGTACCCATTTTGAGCTATAATCATGCAATTCACAAAGACAATAGACTACAGCATATGAGAAATGAAAGTGGATTATTTGCTGCTGTTGTTGTTAATGCTTCTGGTGTATTTTTTTCCACTTTTTCGAAAAAATAATTTTTTTAAATTAACTAAGACAATTAGAATACTCTTTCAACTAAACCAAATGAAGTGAAATTTGATTGTAACAATGAATTTTATAAAAAAGAATGTCGAATATACTCAAGTCACTTTGGGTTGCTTGAAGTGAAGGTCTCAAGAATGATATAACAGCTTAGATAATCAATAAAAAGTAACTGAAAAATCATACCTCAGGTATGTGCGCTAAGGCTTGATTAACTCCAGCTCGGCAAGTGAAAGTGACTTATTCGTACACTGTATATCTATCCGGAAAGCACGAAATCGTGATTAGCTAACTGCAAAACAGTCTTACTAGACAATGATGAAGAGATAAATTGTTAGTCAACACCAGTTTAAGCTGTCACACTCAATATATAGCACACAAAGGTAGAGAGAACAATAGTGTGCAGAAATATACGAAGGAAAGAATATTAACATGGAAACAACAGAAGGATTTACTAGATCAAAGAGATTATAAAGAGTGAATGCATTTGGTCCACTAAGGATGACTTAGAGCCAATCACATCACCAATTCTCTCCAGACATTGGTTCTTGGGATCTCCAGAACCGCGGCCAGGCAGTCTACATCTTACTACTTGGTTCAAACCAACTGTCAGAGATTTGATAGATTAATGACTGGTTTAGGTCTAACTACTGCTAACTCTTTTTTAAATCGAATTCTATATCAGCTAACATTGCCAGTCGAGAAAGACAATGACTAGGTATGCGCGGTTTGAATGAAAAAAGCAATTTAGCATTTCATGCAAGCCAAAAGTTAACCTAATATAAACACATAATCATCACACTTATTCACACTTACTGTGATAGACCGATATAATGAATTCACACCCCCTAATCTAATTTAAAGGAAGTGCATCCACAGTTTACGAGTTTACAAAAAGACAAAATTCTACACCCAAATACTTTAAACAAGTACAATCCACTGTTGGGGAAATTTGACGATACATTTAAGCTATTCATTACTTATTTTAGCACTCCGTAACAGACTGATCAAATATTTAGAAAACTTAAGTCCCAACATCATTTCCTTTATTCAGTTGTAGACTAAAGGTAACAAATACATTCATCCTATACTACATAATAATAATAATGATAATAGTAAGAATTGAATTACAACCAGTAACCATACCCTAGTAATGGAGACAATATAACCGCAAAAAAAAACCAAACATCACAAAAAGTCATGAGTTGAAAAGCCAGACAATACAGTTTTTCAAATATTCCGTCTTTTAGTTTACGTCATTAGGTAGGGAAATTTAACTTGATAGCTAAGCTTCACAGAGGAATTTGTATCTTTATTATTCTACTTCCTCTTTTTGAATCATACGCAGTGGACTTGAACAAGTAGTAGTAGTAGTAGTAGTAGTAATGATGTGATATATATGAAACTAATCAATTATAATACATGCATATAGATACTGGTAATCAGACTGACGGCTTTAAATATATATATATATATATATATATATATATATATATATATATATATATATATATATATATATATATATATATATATATATAACAGGGTTTCAATGAGTACCTATACTCTTGTTCTTAATGCAAGTAAAACAAACTGAGTAACGCAGTGCCATATTCTGATTTCACCAATACACCTTCAATACAATGAATTTTCTGTTCATTCCAGGATTCAAACATAATGGTAACAATGCAATCTTTTTTCTAACTGAATCATAGACAATATTCACTGTGAAATGCGGAATTCGATCGCTCTTCGATAGTGAAAAGCATCGATAGGTGAAAACCATTAAATTTTTCGAAAAGCTCGGCGGTTAAACAATTATCGTTACAAATAATGAAGGCGTCATCAATATGTCGCTTATACATATACAAACTCGAGATTGTTTCTTTCAATGGAGCAATCTCTAAACTCGTCATGAAGACAACCGATAGGAAATGTCCTAATGGAGACTCCATGACGACTCCATCTCTTTGATTATAAATGACATCGTTGAATCTAAACTGCATATTAAGCGTGCATCTCAGTAAAAGCTGTCTCCGATATTTAGTTGCTTCGCCAATATTTATACATTTCCGCTTAGTGTAATCACATTGATAACAAATATTTTCTACTAACGGTACATTTATAAATAAAGAGAAAACATCTAATGAGATCATATGCTTACTGGTCACACTAATTCCATCAACGCAGCTGACGAAGTCAAAAGTGTCCGAAAAACTATGTTTATATAGATTTATAGCAGTACAACTGTCTGACATTCAGATGCAAATCCTATCTCTTGGTCTTAAGTTCTGTACTATTTCATTCAGTGTTGACGAATCAGATACCAAGGTGCGGTTTGAAAATATTATATCTCAGACACATGATACATCTATAAGCGATATATTGATGACACCTTCATTGTTTCTAACGACGATTGTTCAACCGCAGAGCTTTTTGAAAAATTTGAATATGTATTGTGCCAACGAAGCTAACTCAAACGCCTGCTATCTACAAATGTTCACTACTGTTGTAAGTATAAAACTTGGGCACTGTGGTAGAGTATAACTCCATTATGGATAAGATTTTATTTTGATAAATCACACACAGTGTTGTACAGTTATATTAACTGATGACGTTTCGAGCACAAACTATTGCCACTCATAATCATATCAAGTTACTCACACAACTTCTTAATTGGTATGATTATGAGTATTAGTTTGTGCTCGAAACGTCATCAGATATTATCACTGTGTAACACTGTGTGATTTATCAAAATAAAAATCTTATCCATAATGGAGTTTACTACTGTTCTTTTTAGACTGAAAAAGTATACAACATACTCGAATTCGTTACTGAGTAGGTGATTTATGTCGTTGTTAAAGGAAAAAAATATAAATGAAAATCTATTTGTCATATTCCTTTCATGTTAGAGAACCACTGAAAGCCGGAGAGTACCTCAAAGTTTTTTATATTACTTTGGAACCCTTTATTCATGAAACTCCTCGGAGTCAATCCCCACATGAGGCGAAGATGGTTGCACATTACCGTTGAATCACAAGGTAGGGTGAAACAGCTGTCCAATAATCCTTGATTTTTAATAGTTCCTCTATCGCTGATATCAGTCCGTGTTCAGACTTGATACTAATCAAATCCCTACAAACTAACGCTTGAGAATATGATGAGTGACAAAAGAAGCTGTGGGGTCATACGATGTTTAGTATTGATCATACACATAATCCAGTCCCATAACACTTCAACTACAATGGACTTGTTACAGTGTACACACTGTATCACACCAACTAGCTTAGTTAACAAGCTAGTCAAGCTTGTCAGGAGAGAAGTTATGTGGCAAAAAAAGAAGAAAAAAAGAAACAAAATTTATTAATAAGCTTCTTTTTTTGGTCTTTCTCAGAGGGAATAAACCTGTACTGAACAGTATATAATCTAATTAAGCTTGATAGAAATTTTTTAAAGAAAATATGATTTCCGACAGAAAGAAATCCTTCTCTGGAATGCACAAATAGAAACTGTATACAAATGTGAACAAGAAATTGTGCCTGAATGAATGAATGAATAATAGTAAGGTAAAGAAGATACATCATGTACACTTCCTTCAGAAAATAAAAAAAAAACAAGAGGAGGTGGGGTGGACAACAATACACATCAAATAATGTAGGTGAGGAATTTTTAATGAAGAGAACTACCGAATGCATAGTATACTTGGACTAGAAAATCACGCCTATCACACTGCCTTATTGAAATCGAAATTAGAAGCTTGACAAAAACTGTTGAAAACTGTCACTATTAGTATACGCCTTCAACGCTAGATACTAATTTGCCACAGAGACTCTCAGAATTAAAGTGCCTAGCCTCTACAAACATGTCTATACCACATCAAGTTAACATAATGGAACAAAAAGTATACGAAAATTAGGCAAAAACAAAATCACAAAAAAAGAATTGTTGATTTTATATTGTATGAACTGATATTTTAATGTCGGAACGAATATTTGGGCTACATGAAACCATTTATATTCTAGCGCACATATTCAATAAGTAGACTGTAGGGTCTATGCACCGCTAGGTTATCTACATTCTAGATTGCCACCGTCGCAACATAACACAAGATTAATTAACTCAGTATTCTTTCAGGATAGAATAAAGTTACTTCTAATATGCTAGTAAACCAATTTTTGGTATTTCTGATGGTCTGCATTAAGATAAAAAAAGTAATGCATTGGAGAATTCGTTGTTAGACATGTGTATGTTTCATTCACATCATGAGTCAATAACTCCAAGTTGGATTAGTCGAACTTTCTATCTCATAATTGGTCATATTTCAATGACTTAAAATCGCCTTCGTAAAATGATAAAAAATTAAGTGTTTTCTGGCGTTAACAAAATCAGTTTGCTGCTAATGAGACTTCATTTTATGCTGTAATACTATTACATCGTCTATCATTGAAAAACCACACGACTTAAAGTTAAAAATATATTGGTCATATTATCTAGTTGAATAAATTACACACTTACTTCGTCTAGAATCATAAGACCCCACTCTTGGCCTTTAATCCAAGTCATCATTCGATCAGCTTCATAGGAACGTTTTGCTGAATGCGCAATCATACTGTACGTACTAATGCATATATGTGAACTTTGATTTGGACGATCTTTTGCATCACTAGTGAAACGAAGTATTTGACTGTCTTCAATAGTAGACCATAATTTGAATTGTGAGCGCCATTGTTCAACAGCAACACCACTAGTACATAGAACAAATGTTGGCTTTCTTATTGTACAGGCAGCTGTAACACCCACCTGAAATGTATTTTCAAGCAAGTATATTAGTCATTCAATCTCTAAATGCAACATTTCATACATTTAGTATTAAAACAGAAATAACAGTGATAGGCGAAATTGGACTATAGTGATCCAAGCAAACAAATGAACTTTGAAGTGGTCAAACAAAGTGATGGTTAATAATGGAATTAGAACGAAGAATGGAGTTTTTTTAATTGAATAATGAACTTTGCTCAAGATTAAGGAGAACTGTATGATTCAGATAAGTGCTAATAATTGTTAACCGTAACCCCAACGCCTTACAGTAGAAAAGGCAGTCAGTCTCATTCGGATGTACAGACACTCCTATGAGAAACTCGGAGTTATTCATGCAAAATATTAAAGAAAGATATCCCGTTGAACATTTTTACACCTTTTATGCCTAAATTAACCCAGTTTACTCCCATTGTTCTCTTGGATAATTATTTTTAAACTTATCTAAGTGATAAACAGCTGGAGATAAATATTCAAGTAGGAAAGGTTACTGTAGTCAAAAGCAATATGAATGTTCCAGTAACCATAGAGGAGTTAAGCCGCTCGAAATAACAATGGAGATAATAATTATAGTAATTTGCTATATAAAACGAAAACTAATTTTCCGCTAATTTGTTATTTTCTTAACTCACATGAAAAAATTACAACTTTACCAGATAATCATTAAAGGAGAAATGTTGAAAAGAAACATATGTACATATTTATTTATAACAATTGAAAATGACTTTCCCTATAGTTGAATGTGTAAGTTATTCACACGTGAAAAGCAACCTGACAATTAACACCTTCATAGTATGAAGATGAGAAGTTAAAACAGAACACAAGAGTAGAACATATCGATAAGAGATAGAACTATTAAAAGATATGCTTAAATGAGTCTGATAGGATGAACCAGCTGAAAATTCTCGTATATTTAACCAAGCGGTACAGAATTGGAAATGTTCCCTGATAATGACTTTACCTTTCAATTAAAATTATATTTGATATTGTATAGTGTATTAGGCGACGCAGTGTTCATGTACATAGACAAAGATGCTTATCTTTTGTATAAAGACTGGTGATGCTTTCTGAACTCGGTAGGTGATGTTGAAGTCACTAATCATCAGCTGACAGTCAACCACCAATATCTATCAAGAGTCCTTATTAGTATTTTTTTATTTTTGATTACAGCTTGATTCCACACTGTATTTTGGGTACAAGTATGGAATTTTCAGCATGTGATATCGGTAGCCCGAATTTTACAGCCCGACCATAGATATCAGGTGTGGGTCGGCAGAGGATCGAACCTCGAACCATGTATATGGTCGGCGAGAGTCCTAACCACTGTGACACCGACGCACAGTAGTATAACTTATAAAGTCAACATTTCTCTTCAATGCGTAATAAATGTTTACAGAAATTCAAATAACCTTACACCAAGTTATATACTACTTAATAGGGACAGTCTGTTTACCCAAAAATGTGTCAATGAATAGTAGCTTATTTGGTGTGAGAATACGTTAAAAAATTCCCACACGAAAGCACACGTATGTATGTGAACTATCATCATTTCATTTTTCATACAAATCAACCAACATACTTCATTCAGATATCGAAATAAATAAAACTGCAATAATGAAATTTTACAAACAACGGGAAAAAGAAACCAAAACCTAAGTCTAACATAAACTAATATAACCACCAAAATAGACCAAAAAGGACAGTGGGTTATATATATATATATATATATATATATATATATATATATATATATATATATGCATTCGGAATGAAACCACTAAATTTCTGTATCGCACTAATTTCGAAACATCTAACCGAAATCACACGACAATCATGATTGTGTATTCGATTCGGAACCCTTTTAAGTGATTAAATACCAAAGGCATATAATTAGGCTAATGAATTCTAGCGTAACTCCTAGATTAGGTGAGGTGAATGAAATTGAAGTTTTTAAGATTCCGTTTTACGACATACATATACGTTTGTTAAAATTACGTAGAAATTACTTTGTTCAAATACGTGAAATCATGTCTGACGTGATACTTTCTTGATTAATTACTTGAACCTGATCAGAATTCTGATATGTCAGGGAAGTGTTTTCCTCTAGGATACATACTAGTGATCGGTTGGTCAGTAAGTTACGGCTCACTTACTCGGCACTGAGCTACGAGGCAAACTTATTTTGTGAGAGGGTTAGTGATACTATCCATCACCCAGGCTGAAGTAGGTGGAGTGGGACTCGAACCTATTGATTGTAAGTCGTAGGTGTAAGCCAATGAACTAAACACTACCAGTGATCTGGGTGAACTGGAAAAAATAGATAATGCAGTGTTATACATAAATCTTTGCAATCGCATTGATTCTACATCCTATCCTAGTGAAATGAGATACATAACATACTAAGTCATGAATCATTTTGTGTAAGATGATGTTCGACAAGAAGTCGAGATTTGACCAGCATAAATTTGTGAAAAGTGTTCAAGGCAAAACTCTGCAATTCTGATTTCGTCGTGAAATTCACCATTCAAGTTATTCAACTTTCTGATAAAAAAAAGTTATGAGTCCTAACCATTAGGCTACATATAATCTCATGCATAACTATTATGATTACTATTCTCACTGGGTGGGCAATATATATATATGACACGATGTCGACTAATAAGTTCTCTCGAAATAATTACCATAATGGTAATTATCTTCATTAATGGGTTAAAATCTAGTAAAACTTTTTATTCATGCACGAGTGTTTTCCTATCCGTGTAAACATCCTTTCAATTATGACAGTAATAAAAATAACATTATAACCTATTGATTTGTTTACACAATTATTCAGAGTTATAATTGTCTCCGCTGTTATTTTTTTAAAAACTTTTTTATCAGTAATAAAGTTAGGGAGGAGGTGAATGAAGGAAGGTACAGAAAGAGGCAGAATGGTAAAGAGAGAGAGAAAGAGATGAAGAGATTAGCAACAAACAAATAAAACAACAATGATGATGATAAAAAACAATAACAATAGTAAGAATTGCAATGTAGAATGAAACTACGCTGAACAAAATATCAGAATAATACATATATAACCATAATAAACTCAGCGAATGAATTATTCGGAACAACAGGTAAACAACAAAAAATGAGGAGAGCAAAAATGGGAAATTCTGAGTGAAGGAGAGAACATGAATGATGAACATTTCAGTCAGTGTTTATTATTTCTAGCAAAAACCATTGAATGTATTAATCAAAAAAATCCAAATATTAGATTAAACCAAATCAATAGAATTCTCATAAACAGATAAGTAATAATTTTGTGTATACTTTGACTGACAAATAATATCTAGATGAACAGAGACACGTTAGCGAAGAAGATTATTAATAAACTAACTCATTAATTAACCTAATTATCTTCAAAGTAAAACCAAAAAGTAGAGGTCCTAGTAATAAAATTATTTTGGCTTACGGGTAATTATTGACATTAGAAGTCTGCTTGACGTCCATTAATCCATATATATATATATATATATATATATATATATATATATATATATATATATATATATGAATAACCCACTACTCATACTATCATTAGTGAAAAGGCTGAAATATTGAGAGTACAAATAATTATTAAACAACAAGGAATATGTAAAAAGTGTCCCCTTTCAGTGAAATTCACTGGTTGCATCTCACAACATAATTTTTGCTTTTTTGTTAATGCTTGCTAGTCAGGCAAAAACTATTGACTGATCAGTGAAAATATGTTAAAATGATGAATATTTTTTCGAAATATACATCACTAAGGGTGAAAATAGCAACGAAATGTTGAAGATGAACGCAAATAACAAAGATAATAATAATGATAACGTGTAATTGTATGTTGTCTGTATGTTGGTTAACCTTGTGGAATAAGAAGGCAGATACTGGTAAATAATGTTCTACTCACCTCGAAGGTTATTATTATTATTATCATTATCAACCTAATTAGATGATTCCGGTTTCACTAAAATGAAATCTTAAGTAATAATGTTAGCTCACACTGATTAGAAGTGTGAATATATGGGAGAAATATACTTTTCAAGATATTCAGGTGAAGAGGGTGAACACTGGGAAACAGGTGAGTAGAAATTTTTTTTGCTTATCTCAGTTAGAAAAGAGTTATGCTGGAAGGGGCGATGCTGATGTTAGGAATTAAGTCGTGTTGTGAATCGGATTGCTGTTTCATTTGGTTCGTCGTTCTTCATATGCACAGAGTCAAGAGTACTATGTTATCTCTTATATCCCTGAAGTAACAAAAACAGGTTTTGAGGCTCTTACATTATTTTGATTGCACACAAACCAACAGTTGCGGAAAACACCGTTAAATTGACAAATATACAATGAGGGTGTATTGCAGACATTCTCATGTAGTTGAATGGTTATCTTAAAGGAAATAAACACACATATACACACACCCGTTGAACGTAACGAAGACATACAAGCTCTAGTAAGCATCTGAGCACATTCGTTGCAAGTCATGTTGGCTACCTTTGTATTGAGTACAAACACATATTTTGTCTACTAAATGACACCCAAAATGTGTATCACTGGCCATATGATTAGTACAGAGACAAAGCTGTTAATCATGTGACATACACATAGATTGTGCAGCTGAGGGTATTAGGTGTATAGTGGGAGATGATAAACTCCATGAGCAGTATAAACACACACCTTTGAGTATTTCTTTCGCCCTTTTGATTAAACCGATATACTAGAACTTGGGCACTGTAATAATTAATAATAATTTTTCCTTCACGTTCCCAGTGGAACATAGGGCTCCAAGCTAGTGGCTTGAAGTTTCTGTAGCAGTGTTTAATTTTTACAGGATGGGGTTGCTAGCCTCATGCCCAACCTTTCCTCTTTACCAGCATTATTATTTCTGGCTCAGTGAGGTAGAGGAGCGCGCCGGGCACTGTGCTAGGGTATAATTCCACCATGGAGTATATTATTTTGATAAAGTCTCACAGTGTTGTACGGTATTATTTACTGATGATGTTTCGAGAAGAATTCATTGCTCATAATATCAAGGTACTCACAGAGCTTTCAAAATTCATATATATATATATATATATATATATATATATATATATATATATATAGTAAGGTGGCAAAAGAGAGAAGGTTAGTTGTTACATTACCAACCACACCCCGTAGAAACCGCACCACTGCTAATGAAACTTCAGAATCTGAAGCTCTATGCCCTACCTACTATTTGGATTGCGAAGAATAAAAAAGAACAACACAGTACAAAACATAATCTAATACGAGTACATGGAAACTACTAGGCGCTCTGCTATGGGTTGAATTCTAGACAATATAGGAAAATACTTCAGGATGTAAAATCGCACCAATGGAATCGTTAGAAGCGTTCAACTTAGGGACATCTTACACACACACACTAAAGTGTTGCGAACACAATCAGTTCCCAAGATGCACCGGAAACAGTAATCATTTCGTACCTTGTTCTCAAGATAATTACGAATACCAACTGTGTGTTTGATTAAAGCATGTTTATCTAATTTGAAAACAGATAAATTTTTCCCTTGAAATAATCATACATTATATTATGTACTCGTCGCCAAATTATTGTTATGTACTGGTCGAGAATTTAATAGTCCTGACGCAAGAAAGCCGGAAATCAGAAGACCACTAGGTTTGCGATGATACTTCTATTTTCCAAACACAAGGAGAATCAAGTCACACAAGAGTGTGCGAGCAAAAATATATATGAATGTCCGAACAAGTGTGTGAACAATCAATAGACAGTCTTACCGCGATTGGCTAATTATAATGGAGTATCGATCCATATATACATAGCGAAATATAGCAGACATGTCAACAAACACACATATTATATGGATATATATCACCAAGGACAGACTGTCAACAAACACACATATTATATATAATATAAGGGGAATACACATTGTTAAAGGAGACAGGTTCATCAAAGTGAAATGGTCACAGACTAAGAGAGCAACAGAAAGAGAGACCACCATATATATATATATATATATATATGGATACATATCACATTACGCATAAAGTATCAGCATATGACTGTAAACCTTATTCCGATTGTAAGGACCGTTACATAAACAGTGATATGTATTGGAAACGAGCTTATAAACAAAAGATTTCATCACTCGAAAGCGCAAAAAGGGGAGTTTCACTTACCAGTGTCTTTCCAGCGCCACAAGGCAATACGATAACGCCAGAACGTGCACGACCGTTACCAAACATTTTACGCAAACTTTTTTCTTGATATGGTCTGAGTGTTGTGCTTGCTTTAAGATCTATTGAAATATCTTTGTTCACTCGATCAAGACGAAAATCATATTCAGCCAGTAATGGTACTTCTAATTCAATACACCTTTTTTGAAGTATTTCAATTTGATCTTGATTGACTTCTAAGGCAAGAACAACTGGTACTTTGGAATCACTGGGGACTGTTGAGTCCAAGACAAATTTAATATTGGCATCATCACGACTGCCGTCATTTTTTATATCTATCATTTCACCTTCACGATCCCCAACATCTGATTCAATGCCAATTGCACTGACATTTATGTTATCACTAGGTTGTTCCAAAAAGTTATTGTCTGATTTATCAGCAGTAGTTGTATCAGTGCCAGTACCTGATTCCTGTGACTCCCTAGCTTCTTCTTCTGCATCTATACGAGCGTAAAGGCGTATCATTTTGTCTTCAATGGCAATTTCTTTTTCAGTTTTAACACCTTTATCTTCTTGTGGCTGGTGTTGTATCACCAGTGATGCAGCATTGTAAAGTTTTACAACTTCTACTTCTTGTTGTGGTTGTTTCAGATCATCGCTTTCCTCAGTAACTGTTGTCTTAACTAGACACTGTTGTACAGTTTTGTCGTTCGCTAGCTGTTGTAGAAACTGACGATGTGGACTTTCAACAAAATAACGGCCACCTTTTAAAACTAGTTTGGCCTTACCATATGATAGGGTACAACTACGAATATAGGCAACAATGCCCTCTGGTAGATCAGTTTTACATAAACGACGCAAACAACCAATTATTTCACCTGTACGCAAACCAACTGAAACAGCTGCATACAATGAATAAGAGGTGAGTTTATATTCATGGATATGTAGTGGTCGACATACTGGTTCGGAAATAGCAATTAAAAAATCTTGAGCTTGACGAGCTAGTGGACTAAATGCTTCAAGAAATATGTGCCCATCCGGACCAATCCACAACGGACGATAAGGATGGTCTAAGCGCAACTTCAATATATTTCGCATATCTTTAGCTCCGAATTCATCTTTTGGTGTGCACACAACTGATGCATCAGTAGACTTGCTAATTGAAGTGCCGTGTTCGTGACGGGTTTTTACTGTTTGAGTTCTTGATACGACACGTAATTCATCCGACTCATATTCATCAACATCACCGTCATCATCATCATCTTCACCATCATTTGTGGCATCATAGTCAATATCCGAGTGAAGTTTGTGACCACTATGGCCAGTAGTAGTAGTGGATTTCTTTGCGGTCTTACCATCACCTTTACGACCATAAAGACTTTCATTAGACTCACGATCGAAATCCACAGAACCTGACATTGTAGAGTCTTCATCTTCTGGTGGAAAGACATCTGGTTTATATCTTTTGGAAACTGGTTCCTTAGCAGACTTTGTATGCTGTCCACGTCTACGATTATCTGGTCGGTTCATGTTGCTGGTACCGATTATCGATTCTGAAAAAAAAGTAAGATGAAGTGTAATATCACTTTATAAAATCCGTTGAATTAGACATCTCAAGAATAAAAAACGGAACTGAATGAAATTCGGCCCAACAGTAAGAAATGCGCGCAACATCATGAGGTAGGTTAACGAAGTGGAAACATTAAAAGAAATTATTTCTACACTGCTGTTTGACTCTAGATAATTTAATATCCGAGATGAACTTGAATAGAACAAGGGTACCTAAAGTTTCCTTATACTTACTTATTGCACTTGGTTAACTTGAGAAAGAGTTCTGATTTCCTCACTTCTTTGAGAGTGTACAATAACTGACATCTTATAAAGCTAAACTAAGCATCCATTAGACAAGGCACTACTACTACATAATGAAAACAAAAGCAAAGCGTACAACGGTATCCTGTCAAAAAAAATTTAGGACTGGTTCAGTATGACCAATAAAACTGTTACATTTATAATCTCATGAAGAATATAGACACATCCAACCTAGACAAGTAATTGTGAGACTGTATATGGCTAAGTCTAACTGTAAGTAACTGAGATGGAAGACTTCGTCTCCACTATACGACCCATATCAATTATTGTTCTATGGTATCTTTTGGTACACACAGTCAAATCTAGACAATATATAACAAAAATCTTCAAAACGGATATACACAGAAGGTAGAATATCCTTAGGGTTATATGATGGTTATCCATTTTATTTCATCAGCGCTTCTATCACTAGTTTGGTTTCTTTAAGTAGATGCAAAACGGAGTCCTCTTGCAGGATAATTTCATCCCTATATCCTTTGAAATTAATAAAGGAATAATGTCAACTTCGAAACTCGATCATACTAAAACATTATAAGGGAATACAAGTTTGAACCCCCCCCCTTCACCTTATGGGGTTTGAACAGCCAGGTAGTATCACTGACCCATACACAATAAATCTAGCTCATTGCAAACAGCATGAAATCACATGTAGGTGTTGTGAACAACTGGTAAACATTCGGAGAATAAAACCACCCAGTAAATCAGACCACCGAGATAAATTATTCAGAAAGATAAGCCATCAATAACTCTAGTCGTACTCGTCTAAATGCTGCCAGATGAGTATATATATTAAACCACGAATCGACTAAGTCATCCATTTTACAAATATTTTTTTCCCAAAAGGAAAAAGGGGTGTACACATGCTCCAAATTGTTCAGATTGATAAAACGCAATCAAAATGCAGCATATTTGCGTGTTAATAATAATAATAATGTTCAAGCAAGACTAATCAGAAAAAAAACTGGAGAGGACAAGCATATACAACATGGAAGCAAATAGTGGTTGGCACACTCAAAAACTTGTGATGAATGATAATGGCTAATAAAGAAACTGTGACCAGAGAGAGACAAAGAGTATACGATAGCGTGGGGGAGACAATGAAAACCAAAAATAAGTATATTCAGTTCAAAAAGGGAAAAAATGTGGATGCAAACGAAAACCACTCTCTCTCTCCCAGACACACACAGAGGGACTTTTACACTACTAAACATTTATTTCATGGGAAAATTTATTTTTCCCAGTTTGCTGCAAATCTCTATTTTTTGGACAAAATGATTCATTACTAAAGACAAATATCAAGACTAGTTTATCACATTTCACTAGACTTAAGGAATATATATATATATATATGGATGAGGGAGTGTTTTTATTGGACAATCAACAATTATAAAGCAGAAGAGCCTATCATACATTAGAAATAAATTTCAACAGGTAACGTATCAAAATAAAAATTCAATGTTAAATATATACAACACATAAGCAGCTGGTGAAACGACTCCGAAAAGCAGACACCAACAATGGCTTAAATGCTATAGGACGCATGATTATATGTTAAAAACAGATTGGACCTTCTCTACCCATTTACTGCTCAACTAAATTATCATCACCAGTACATAATAAAAAGCGGGAGGATTTAAAAACATGTATATATTCCCATGTAATTGATAAATGTAAAAATGAAATGATAATATTCCACAGTATCGATGACGGTGGTTTCACGGTTGAAAAAAACACACTACCTAGTTGAAATTTAATTTTGCATAATCAAAATAAGAGAAAAACACTTGAAATAGAATAAATATATGATTTTGTCTATCTCACTATCATAAAAACATTCTTTTTCAAGTAATACTCCATGGAATAACAATGTGTTTAGCATTTTAAATGTAAAAGATCAAACTATTCAAACAAATTTTTTATTGATACTTTTACATCGAGTTGGTCTGTGCAACCTTCAAGAATAAATTTCCGAGCAAATAAAGACACTGGATATTTTACTTATCAATAACATAAAACACAAAAGGTGAGTTCTTTTCTCAAAAATACTGATATTATGAAAGCAAAAACATAATAAGAATCCATATGATGATTTTATATCTGTTTGTGTGTGTTAAGTGCGGAAATCTTCCATGAAATAGCACCTCAATAAATGATTACACATATTTTTATTACACACCTATATTTATGGGGGACTAACAGTTGGCTTATGATCAAGCGGAAGGGAGCGGGGGTTAAGAAGCTAGCTGGAGAGTATAAAAGAGCTTGTAAGTGATAGTTCTTCAAATGACTACTTTAAAAGACTGTCACTGTGACATGAAACTATTTATGCGGAGGGTAAATTCATATAGATTAGGGTGATTGCTTTTTAATTGTCTACTAGGTGGCACACCCTTCCAATTAGACTTGAATTTTAAACAAGATACAAATTACTTTCTCTTTATTTATTTATTTATTAAACGCATGAAAACTTGGTACAATATGGCACCAAGAAGGATGCGCCACACAATAATAATAAAACAACATAGATCAAAAGAAAAAAAGGAAAGAAGAGAAATATATATATATAAGTAGAGAACGGATAAAGAACAGTTATACTTAACAAGTTCAAACAGTATTCGTTGACTATCATCGGGAAGGGAAGAAAGAAGGAAATTGCAACACGTGTAAAAGCACGCGATAAGTTTCATTGATTGTTTGTTGCTTTATTCAACTCATTGTGTGAGGGATGAGATACTGCCTGGACGCCCAGACCGAAGCAGGTGGTTTTATTAAGGGACCACCCCCCCCCGAGCCTTTGACTTAAAGTCTAATCCGCAAGGCAGCGGAGCAGCGTCAGGAGCTGCATTCCCATGGTTTCCGGTGACCCATATTGGTTCATACGTCATTTGATCCGATTGGATACTGGAGCCCATGTACCCCATGGTAACTGCTTTTACTTTAACCGCTTTCCAAACAACCTTCCTGACATGGTAGGACCTGCAGGAACAGAGTTCCAGTCAGTTTAGCATGTTGGGTAATTACGGTATTCAAGCCCGACCACCACGACAAGGTAGCAGTTATCGGCCGGGATTACTTTCTCTAAGTTATTGAATTCACCCGTAGGCACAAAAACTGAGGTATGTTACGAGTATTGCGTTATATTCTTTAAATGGGGTGGATAAGAGTAAATGTGATATGTGTACAATACAAAGACTTCAGGGTCAATGGCTTTTTCAAATGATAAACCCAATTGTGCATGTGACTGACTATACACAAAATGCTAATATTGTCATATTGCAAAACTATTCACAAACCTACATGGGATTGTTGGTGAACTAGAATTGGGACATATTTTATCTCAGTATACTTAAAAGACTTACAGCAATATGCCTTATACTGTTGACCAGCTGTTATTTAACTGGAAATGCCAGAGATTCGTCAGCATCTTTGGTCAGCAGAAAAAAATAGAGCTGGCGTCAAGTAACTGAGGTTATCTTGCATACCGCCAGGTCATTCAGATGCACTCTGATGGTTATACCAAATAAAATAATACCCTGGATATCTTTTAATTGCATAATTGTACTTCTTGTAATATCTATGACTCATAAGCAGTGAATTCCTCTAATAGTTTTTCCTTACTGAGGAAGCTGAACGTTGTCTAAATATGCAATCGCTTGAAAACGGTAATTTATATAACAAGGCATAGTAGGTTACAAGCAGACTCAGTGACCTGTTAGAACAATGACAATAATCATATGGGAAACACATATACGAATTTTACACCTTTACTTTGCAACTACTAGGCGATTATTAGTTACAAAGTATAATCTTTCTATACTTTTATGGAATTAAAACCAATACAGCTTCCTTTTATTCAAACTGAGATTTTAAAGGTCCATGTAAATATTTACATCTAAGTTAATGGAAAGAGCTAAGCGCTGGGACAGACAGAAAAGTAATTAATAACTTTCATGGTGTAATAGTGCATGCACTCATATTCAACTTTGTTCTGAATATTATTTACCGATTTCTTATGATGATTATTAGTCTTGTTTTTCACTTGCTTCACTGTCTGCTATCAATCGAATAACAACAAATTCAATGAAATTAAACGAGTATATCTGATAATACTGCAGCGTTTTTGTTTAGAATTCTAAATTATAAAAAGATGAGAAGCAGTCTTGTTAACATTTGATAGGAAATAAGCTTTCATAATCTTCTTACATTGGCAGTCAAACGATAATAGTGCCATAAATACTGAGGGACACAAGCAATAACCCTGAAGTATTTGAGAAACCTCACTCCAGATATACATGCTTAAGACACAATGCTTCTTTCTGAATAAGCATTTATAGAGAGTTTTCGCACCAACGAACGCAAAATGCAAAACTTTTATTGTTCCGCTTCAATGAAACCACTATAAATTTTCCGCTACACTGCTATTGAGAAAAGCATGACGGTAGAGGCAGGCGAAGGTAAAATGAATTCGTAAAAATACAGGCTTTTTCATGTAACTAAGTAGTAAAATAAAGAAAAACCGAATTATTGTTACTATCTGTGCATCTGAGGTCGACAGCAGGACTTTCGCCGAGGTACCGGGCACAACGTACAGTTAGCTGTGGACAACTGTAAAGTCTGTTAATAAGCTAAAACCTAGAGTTAGTGAAAGCCATCGGATCTCAACCACCTCCTCCGAACTGAT